CGCCTTGCGAAATCGTGAAACGATCCCACCAGGGACGAACCTTCTCCTCCACCACTTCCTCCTTCATTTGCATTTCTCTCGATTCTGTCTCCTTCTCATTTCTTCTTTTCTTCTTCTTCTTCTTTGTTCTTAAAACTTTGCTCGAGAGATTCTCGAAATAGGGATCTCTCGAATTGATGAAACGAATTATTTTTTATTTCGAATATAGGAGAGGAGGAAAGCATGTTATACATCTCCGAGATGATCGATTATCAGTTTTTTTCTTCTTCTTTTCTGGAAATGGACGCTCGACATTCGGCCGCATCCGACGCCATTTTACACGAAATCTTGGACCGCTTGGAAGGATCGCTAATTATCTTCCCCCGTGGCTTACCAGCGGCACCTTCTGAGCCAATGGGGCAGGCCATCCTCTCGGGCCGCTCTCAGCTGGCTAGAAATGGTCACGTAAGACGCCGGAACCATCTTGGCTATTCCATTTTTTTCTCAATTTCTTTTCCCTTTTCTTTTTTTCCCTCTTCTTCCTCCTTCTTCCCGGCCTGCCCAGAAGAACCGACAATTAATTATATTTCCAAGCATTTTTCTGACCCACCCTCCCCCTCCCCCGAGTTGATGGATTTTACAGGGAGGAAGAGAAACGAAACCGTTCTCAGGATCACGTTCCCTTCTTTCTTTCTTTCTTATCATTAAGTATATACAACTCGAATTATACTTATTCGAGATTACTTCATCTTTTCTCTTTTTTCTTCTTCTCTTGTCTTACTTGTTGACAGTGTTGCAGCAAATAGATCGAAGGATAATAAATTATTCAAAAAATTCGTGAACAAATTGACGATATTTTTAAAAGAAAGAAAAAACTTAGTCCAACATTTCATGATTTATATCCAGAGGAAAGAAGGGGGATGGATAATTGAAACTACGATCGAGACAAATAAATTGTTCATAAATCAGATGGAATTTCAGATGGAAACGCGTTCATTAAATATTTATACACTCGTTAAGAATCTAGTGGATTTTCTGAGTGACCCCCCCCCTCTCTCTCTCTCAGAAAGGTGGACACTCATTAATCGTCGAGCGCGATCGTGAAACGCGACGATGACATTATTCTTGCAAGAGTTTCAACGAGTGTTGCAAAAAACCGCGTGACTAATGTCGAGGACGAAACGACAGATTTTCTTCTTTTCCAAATTAAAAAAATTCAATTATCCTCGTTCCCATTAATTCCATTAATTCCATCAGTTCCGTTTAAAAATGGCGGACTATTTAACCGGGCCACCACGTCACAGATACCGATCAGCCATTAACTGGCTCATCGATATTAATATTAATATTAACCGGGTTTATTAATATTAACGAATCCGCTCCGTCTCGAGGAGGATTATCGAGAAATTGCATCCCCCCGTGGGACAAGAGACGGCCGAGAAAGGAGGACGAAATGGATAGGCAGAGGGCCGGCCATCATTAATATTACGAGCCACCGCGCGGCGGCGCGCTCATCGGATCTATGCTTGCCTCTTCCCCACGTCCAACACGTGTTGCGCTCGGAACGAGAATGGATTTATCCTCGATAAAATGGAAAAGGACGATTTCATTTTTCGAGAGGATTCCGCTTTACGATCGTTTCGATAATTTTCGTAATTTCCTTTCCGCTTTGAGAGGATTGATTTAGCGCATAATAATTAAGAATTACGGAGGAGATATATATATATATATATATATATATAATTAAGGAGGAGAG